CAATCTAATTGGCACCGGTTTGTCTATTGGCCTCAAATCAAAGTCAAAATGGAAAATTCCATAATTGAACAGGAACTTCGGGGGCCACGCAGAACATTCCCAGAAGCTGCTTGAGACCGCAAGTGTCAATGTAGTGAAAGGGACAACGTGAAACTGCTCCGATCGCCTACTACATAAAAATAGTTATATAATTTATACCAGTTAACAAAGAACAAACTGAAATAGAAGCACACGTCTGCACTAAATGCTTTCATCTTGAAACAAAGCACTCGCGCTGCAAACCAAGACCGAGGCTATGACCCGTCAGTCTCCGCCACCATGGTCCACTGCCAGGCTGACCTAAGTTCGCAAATGCAGCCGACAGCCTATAAGATAGTTGACAAGCCCGTGGCTGCGGCGCATCTATCGCAAGCCTGGCCAAGTTGCACCTGAGATTCACATGAAGCAGATGTGCAACGCAACATCTGAATAAGCTTTATGAGGCCCACTGCAGGCAGCTGCGCACCCTGTCTCTTTTCGCGAGGCAGCATGTTTGGGATAGCATGTTGAGGCCAGCGGTCATACGTTGAGGGCTGACTGCGATGCTATGGCTACGTTTGTTAAACTGGGGCCAAGGCCAAAGTAGCCATGGCTGGCAATCTGGAAAAATGCAACGCTGCAAGACGAGCGAACACGCTATGGGCGCTCATTCAGCTTCAAGCTGAACGTCGGCCATCGAGACCTATACTGCATCTGTAAGACCGGAACCCTGATCCTCAAGGCCATTACTTATTGCTGGCAGGCTGGAATCTTCAAGATTCTGCTCTTGATGGAGACCGGAGTGATGCTCAGCGACAAGACCACCACTCCCTGCCTCCAGGCGCTGCTCGTGGACTCCGAGGCTCATCCTTTCAGACTCGAGACCTTTTATCTCCTCCCGAAGCCTCTTGATCCTTGAGACCAAGACCTCATCTTCATCCAAAAGCAAAGCACGCCTCTGTGAGACCTTCATCTCCTCCAAGGCCTGCTTGGGCCCGTGCTGAAAAACCATCTTCGTCTTGAAAGTGTCTGAGTCTTTGCCCCCTTCCTCTTTCGCATTGGGCAACGATGGAACCACCCAGAATGCCTCAGTTTCGACATTATTCGGCTGACGGACTGTCTGGCAGCATTATTGTTCACCATTACAGCATTACATGTAATCCCGGCTGTCGAGTCAAAAGTCGCACAAGGGGCTGCGGTCCGCTTCAACATAATGCATACCCCCTGTGTAGGAGCACTTGACTTTCTTCGCAGTGAACCTCAGCGAGCCAAGTCTGCAATTCTAAAACAATGATGAATCAGGCGTAGGACACAAGAATAGCAAAACAAACTTGCGAGAAACTTTGAATTTTGTTTTGGATTCCAGCGGCTCCGAGGCCCGACCATGGCTGAACAAGAAGCCCAGCATCGCAATTTCCTCGAAGGAGGAAAACCACATGCAGTCTGCGGCCTGCTCGCCTTAGACACAGACTTAGACTGCCCACGGCAGCAAAAGATGGCAACTCATCCAGCTTGATGTTGATAGACCCCTACTTTACCACCATGCCGCAATTTCAGTTCAAGCCGTATGGAGTTGTGGAACACATGCTAATAAATGCTCACACCCTTCAAGGAAGCACGTAACATTCATATGGAAAGGCGCGAGCATACTGACTGAAGTTGACCGTGTTCTTCAAGACCAACTCGGCAGCCTGCTCCTGGTAGTATATGTTCTCGAACGCAAAGAAAGTGAAGGCCTCTTTTGCCACAGCATCCATTTCTGCGCCCAAATCTGTATCCGCGGACATGGCAACGCAAAACACCGAGACCTCAACTTCATCTCTCAGGGCGCTCTGCAGAGGACAGGCCTGGCTGAAGGTGAAGCTTTCCGTGCTGCATTCACCCCAGGTCGGGTGGATCTTCACATGACCCTGCGATATGCTCCTCTGCGGATCCTTGAGCTCGAATTCAAAAGCCTTGAAGGTCCGGCTCTTCATGAACTCAATCATCTGCGAGCGGTTTGCCCTGCGGCATTGAGTGCCTCGTGGATCCCCGCCCGAGACCTTGTAGCCAAGCCTGCACAGAGCATTCATTATGCCGCTGTGGCATTAAATTTGACTAACGTGTCATTTGGCAGAATTTCAGGCTCACGCCTGCGCGTTTGAGACCTGAAAGCATGGACGATGGCGTCCGTCAACGAGCCAGCACAAAAGGTGCCGGCTATCCTTCGAGGCCCTCCAACAAAGCCCATCTCGGTCTTCGGTACTGCTACGTAGCCCTTCATCTCGTCTGCTTGGGAGGCCGAAACGATACCAACTACCCAAATTCAAACAAATCATGTTGAGCCAAATTTCGGCGTAGTGTTATTTACGCGGAATGCATGATGGGGCCAAGCTGCTCAAAACAGGCCAAGGCCAAGGCTATGACCCGTCAGTCTCCGCCACCATGGTCCACTGCCAGGCTGACCTAAGTTCGCAAATGCAGCCGACAGCCTATAAGATAATTGACAAGCCCGTGGCTGCGGCGCATCTATCGCAAGCCTGGCCAAGTTGCACCTGAGATTCACATGAAGCAAATGTGCAACGCAACATCTGAATAAGCTTTATGAGGCCCACTGCAGGCAGCTGCGCACCCTGTCTCTTTTCGTGAAGCAGCATGTGAGGCATAGCATGTTGAGACCAGCGGTCATACGTTGAGGGCCGACTGCGATGCTATGGCTACGTCTGTTAAACTGGGGCCAAGGCCAAAGTAGCCCTGGCTGGCAATCTCATCAAAATCTGGAAAATTCAAATCCCCTGCCATTCGGGCCGCAACTCACTGGAGGCCTGGCAGACCGGGACCCGGATGGTCGTCAAGGCCATTACTTGGTGGACTGGCTGGATTCCTCCGCCTCCGGCGCCTTGGATCCGCCCGTGGAGTCCCGTGCATCCATCTGGCCCTCCGTGCTGGAGACCGGCGCAACCTTGCGTCCATCATCTGCGGTGCCTTCCTTGGAGACCTCGGCGCCGCCCACGTCGCTGACAGGAGGATGCTTCTGCGAGTCGTCCTCGGGCTCAGCCTGATTCTGCGCAACCTCGCCGGCATCTGCACCGGAAGTCTCCGTCACCATAGCGACTGCATCGGAGGGGGAACTGTCCAGCTGCTCCTTCAAAATGGCCCGCGCAGCTTCGAGACCTTCCAAGTCCTCCCGAAGCTTCTTGATCTTTGAGCCCAGGGCCTCATCCTCGTTGAGAAGATGCTTCCGCTTCTGCTTGACCTTGAGCTCCTCCACTGTTGTCTTGGGTCCCTGCTGGAACATCAAGGTGGCTTCGACAAGCTGCAAGTCCACGTCCGGCAGTGACAGAGATGGCGCCACCCAGAAAGCCTAAGCTACCCGCAGCCGGGGATGCAATAGCATCAGAATGACCATGAACGGAGCTACCACTTATCATTCATCTGTGATTGCCGAGACGCACTGAGAGGGCTGAAATCCTCATCCACATGCTTCATGTCTTCACTGTAGGCGCCAGAGACATGCTTCAACGTGAACCTGAGCAATACTGGCCAAATAGATTTTTTGTGGAAAGCATCACATCAGGCAAGAAATTAAGTATTGGCGCAGCGCTGCGGCTGAGTAGCTGCGAGACCTTGCCCATGGTTTCCAAGAAACCAAGTAGAACGACTTGTTCTGCAGAAGCGAACCACATGTGCTCCAAGGCATCTTCGCCTAGGCTAAGCCCGGCTACTAAGGCAAAAGCAAGCAAAGAAAAGCTGCCCATCATTAGACATCTGACAGACCACAACGCAAGGCCAGGCGCGGGAGACCGAAGCCAAGACCGTGGCGTTCTTCACGACCATATTAGCCAGATCAGTGTGCTTTTTGGTCTCATTCAGACCATAGAACTTGAAGGGCTTAGACCTCTGGCCGCCTGCATCATCAGCGTTCCCTCCGTTGGAGACTTTGTTGGAGACCCCGTTGGAGACCTCGTTGGAGACCTTCACAACGACGGTCATAGCAACCTTGAACATGGAGACGCCAACCTCGCTGGACAAGCTAGACCAACTCGGGCAACCCTTCGAAAAGGTGAAACCTGTCTGGCCGCTAGACCCGGCAGTGTGGATTGTCACGTTTCTGTTCGCAAGAGTCTTCTGAGGATTCTTCAAAGAGACCTCGAACACATGGAAGACCCTGTTCCTCATGAAATCCACCATCTTCGCGCTGTTCGCCTTGCGATACTGGATGCTCCGGGGGTCCCCCTCCGAGGCCTTGTACCCAAGCCTTCGCAAAGCATCTGCACATGTCGGACTGACTACGCATAAGTAAAATGCAGCAGGTTAAATTGTTAAGTCACATAATTCCACGTAAGCGCGCCTGCGCGTCTGAGACCTGAAGCAATTCGCGATGGCTTCGTTGAGGGAGGTGGCACAAAAAGTGCCTGCCAGCGGGCGCACGCTTGCCAGGAGACCTCCTTCGTTCTTCAAGCACACAAAGTAGCCAATCATTGCAAGGAGGCCACGGGCAAATAGCGTTAGCGAAGCTCTCTGAAGAAATGTTCTCGAGACCAAACACTTGCAAGCGTGAAGTTTTGAAGCCTTTGCGCAAAGCCAGCCAAGGACAGGACCAATCCAGCGGCTGCGCAAGAATGAGACCAGCTAATTTTTCTTCCAAGTCCATCTGCGAAAACAGCTCCGCTCTACTTCGCTTTTATGGCTGAATGTGCTCTTTGCTGACACAAGGACTGCCTACAAGCAATGGCACTGGAGCAATGCTTGGGGAATGCGACTTTATCTATTTCAATGATACCTCACTGTCACTTGGCCAGGCTCTGAGCACACGAAAAATTTGTTACATTTAAATCGGCAGGAGCCAGGAGACCAGAACCTTTGCAAAAAGTAAGGGATTGATGCCGCCATAGGGCTGAGGCCAGTTGAGGAATCATCATCTCAAGTACAGCACACATGAGAGCTGTGTAAGAGCATTCCACTCCTATGTGTGTGGCCCAATAAACCCTGCTTCTCCTACCTCACAAGTGGCCTATGCCGCTGGCAGCATTTACGATGACTTGCTTGTCCAACATCAGGCAAGCCCTGATGGGCTTCAGGCAACCCGCTTGCAGCCTCATGTGCCATATCCAGGAGACCTTCTTGCTGTAGTTCTCCTCCACAGTCTGGATCACCTGCAGAAACAGCTGATTCAATCAGCACTGGCGGCCGAAGGTTCTAAATTGATGCATCCCTGCCTGCTTCAGAACGTCTTGTTCGGCAACGAAGACCTGGGTAGAACCTGGCAGCCTCGCTGGTGTTCCCACTATTGCGCCATGCGACCATATCTCCGAGACCTTCTTGGAGTCCAGCAAGTCTTTAAGGCTGATTACTTTGTCCTCGAAAAAGACCTTCTCCCTCGCCGTCTCGTGAAAGGTGTAGGGGATAGACCCAGATGGAATCCCATTCGAGGCCTTGAACTTCCCTGCCGCACTGCTGAAAACCACCGTCCCGGGAAACAAACGCTTGTTGCTCTTTAGCTTCTCCTGGCCCGCAGCCACCTCAACAAACAGCCTCTTGTCCTGCCCAAGCTTGAAGTCATAGCAAGTGTCCAGGCTCTTGAACCCGGTAGACCTGCAAGCACTGAGACACAATCAAGATCATAAGTTAAGTGCTTCAGGAAACGACTTCTGCAAGTGCGCTCACTGACCTTCCCAGCCTGTTGGAGACAGGAGCTTTCTCTTTGTCTACCGGGCTTTGCTGAAGGATGTCAGGCTTTTCTGGCAAGACCGGCGCTGGGGCTTTTGGGAGGGGTGCTGGCGGATCTTTTGGCGTGACTGGCACCGCCGCTTTCATTGGCAGATTGGCACAGGTTGCGGCACGACTGGCGGTGGGGAGACCTGCGGCGAGGCCTGTGCTGGCTCTGCTGTACTGGTGGCTGTAGGCTTGAACCACTGGTCCACGAAATCCTTCTTCATGCGCTTCAGATCACCACCGCCTGTGAGCTGAACGTGCTCGCTGTCCAGGTAGAGAAAGGAATTTTTGGCGATGCCCACGCCAGTGCGGGTCTTCACAACCAAACACAGCAGCTCATCTGTGCAGCCTTTCTCAACAGAGACCCTAATGGTGCAGTTGGCGCGCTTGCCCGCCCCAGGAACAGCGACCTCAGTAATTTAATTATACATGTGATGGCAGCACACGCTGCCAGGATATGCATCTGCTGTTGCGCGCAGCAAAGCTACCTTGCTGGCGGCACCCACCATGACGGAGTACAGAGGCCCGAATTCATTCGGACTCAATGGCATCTCCTGCGTCAGGAATCTTTTTTAAATTAAAGAGCCTTACTTACTTAAGTCCAGATTTCAAGATCTGCAAAAAATATACCACTCATTGTTCCAAGCAAGTCACTGTCTTGCAAACCCTGCTCGCCAAGGAGCCACATTTGCGCAGGCTGGAGACCAGACTCGCGTCAGCTGTGTAATGCAAGCACGATATGTTCAACAGGATCTCATTGTCCCGGAAAGCTCGAGCAGCAGTTAAGCAGACCTTTGTGAGTAATGAATTTCGAATCTAAGTTTTTGAGTTAACTATTCAATTCAATTCCTCAGAATCACAAATGCAACATCAAAATGTTTGGCCTCCATTGGTGAAGCCGAGCAGCCTGCCCGTCCGGGCTCTGCTGGAGCGTCAGCTCCTGTTGCTGCAGCTCTTGCTGCACGAGCGTGCTCATGAGCTCCTCGTAGTTGGCAGGGAGAGGCCTGTTCAATCCGAAGCGCCAGCAGGAACTATCCACAGGGATATCCTTCAAGCAGACCACGTCAGATGTGGGTGCCTCCGTCACCTGGATGAACCCGAGGTCTTGCAGCCCCAAAGCCCTCTTCTGCCCCGAGACCATGCGCTTGGCTTCAGGCAACTTCAGGCTTGCGGCCAGACGGTTCATCAAATCACGCCCATGGGCCAGTGCATGCGGCCTTGGGCCTGAAACGAAACCTATCACCTGACAGACGGTGACTGTCTGCGAGGGCATGCAATGCAATAACAACAATAAACAAGCATGGACAATCCAGCCTCCCCACACACCTCTTGAGCTGCCAACAGGATCGAAGGATGGGCCGTCCGAGTGCAGACCACAGCCCAGTTGCTTTGCGACGAGGCCCTGAAGACCTGATCTAAAATCTTTTGGCGGTGGTCCATGGACTTGGCCACAACGTAGAGGTCAATGCAATACTCTCCATCATCTTGCGATTTCGAGGCCTGATCCTTCGCCACAGCGTCCTCATCATCTTCGCCCACTTCATCCTCAGCTACCTCAAGATCATCCTCGCCCCCTTCGTCTCGGGCCTCCAAATCATCCTGGTTCATTTCATCTTCAACCGATTTCGTGGAAGACCCTCTCTCATCTTCAGGACGAAAGCCTTATTTGTAGCAGATTGATTCTGATCCTCAAAAATAGGGCTAAGCGGACTACTGAAAGAAAACCATTATGTCGTCTAGTAAGAAAGCGAGCAGCAGCAGTGGCGGTTGAGACAACGCTTGCGAAGTTCTTCGGAGGCCCTTGCGCGGCATTGGTTGACAGCTACAGAGCTCGGAACCATGTCCCTCTCAGCCTTCTTGCCGCGTGATAGCCTTCAGGATTTTTCCAGGCGCATAAAATGCATCATTAGCAAATTCCTAATAACATATGAATTCAAATGTTATCAACCAATAATACAAAAATAAATGAAGGCAAGGAGCACGAAGTAAGTGGCCTTTTTGAGCTTGCTTTGGGCCGCCCCTGCTGTGAAGGTCACGACGTAGACCTCCCGCTGCGGGCACAGCATCTTCATCTTGCTCATCACGAGACCCACCAGCTCGAACCTACGCCCGCAGAAGACCCCCATAGAGACCTGGTCCTCCCCACCAGAGGCCTTGCAGGCTGCCTTGAAGCCCAACTCCATGTCCGCCAACACGATCTTTGCCTTTGTTGTGGGCTCATCCACATACACGAGACCTTTGGTGCCATGCTTGATGAGGCCTTCACAGGTCTCAATGAGACCATGGTCGCCAGTGGCAGCATGTGTGACATGGATCTTCGCAAGAACCGGCAGGGCAAGCCTAAGCAATCATCGGAACCATGACTGGTCAATGAGTCAATGCCGCTACCTACTGACAAACCAGATAACAAAAAAAATATATGTATAAACACACACACACACACATATATATATATATATCCGAGCAACTCTTCGGCCTTGGCTGCTACTGGATCAGGACTTGCATCGGGGCCAGGTTCGGCCACAGCCGTGTCATCATCGTCGACCTGCATCGCCATGTCAGCTGCATCCGCTGCCTGCCCATTCTGCGCCTGGTTCTCTATAGCCGGCAACGATGCAGAAGCTGCTGCGTTGCTGTTCGCAGAGACCTCAAAGTACCGGGCCGGCTATCTCTTACATGAATTGGATTGCATGAACAATGGGGTAATTTATTGCAATCTTAAACATATGCGCAGGCTGGGCTCCTGCTGCTGGAGAGCTTCAAGGGCAGAGACCACGGCGATGCACTCGGGGATGCCAGAGTTCAAGACCGCCCTCGTGCCATTGAAGCTGGTGTTGGCTTTGATGCAGGGCCTCTTGCATAGCTCACTGATAGGCATTCAGAATTCGGTAGCATTGTTAGTTGTTGAGTGTACTGCAATGATAACACATGCTGAGCATTACAATCCAAGCAACAGCATCTTTTGCCGTCCACGCTCCGTGCGCAACATCTCCACACAGCGAGGGAACGGCGGACACTTTGAGACCAATTTGCCGAACTTCGCCTTCATGGAGACCTCCCAATGTTGGGCCTTGAACTGCGGTAGGCAGAATTCGGCAATGAACTCTTTGGTATGGATAGCTTTCGTATTGAGGTCGAGGACGTCAAAGAGCTGGCTGAGCGCAGCATTGGCATACTCGGGCTGAAGCAAGAAGCCTCACAGGCGAGCAATGCGCCCTAGACCTAGCGCTGCGACTGTGAGCCTGTTAGTTGTGACCAAGATGCGGGCTTCCTCTCCGTGCCCAATGAGAAACTTGTTCGAAAAGACATAGCCCTGAACAAGCTCCGGCCGTGTGCCGAGTAGGTCCAAGGTGCTCTTGGCCAGCGTCTGGCTGGCTTTGATCCAAGTATGTATGGTAGACCTCCGGTGTGACCCCAGTACTTCGCGCATCAGAAGCTCCGCCTCCCCAGACGTCGAGACGCGGTTCATAAACCTCAGCATCAGGAATGGGAGGCTACCACTTAATACTTAAGTATTAAGCAAACCATATTAATTAACTAACATGGGAGGGCACTGCTGCACAAGCTTGACCTTGGAGGAGACCGAGTGAGCCCGCAGTTTATTGTTATCAGCTTCACGCGCGTTGCAGAAGTACAGGGCGACAGATGCCTTGTCAACAGCATCGCCAAAGGAGATCAAGTCCACGCGGAGACCTTGTACAAACACTGCCTCCAGCTCATCTGTAACCCACTCTGGCTTCCCGTCCTTGGCCTTTGCCGCCTCCTCAAACAGGTTCGACAGAGCCTGTATGCAATGCTTGCCATCCGCCACCATGAGAGACCCATCGGATGCCAGCATGGGCTGCCCTGAGGCTGCGCAAAGAATGCTGGGCCTAGCCATGCGCGTCTGGCCGTACTCGCCATTGCGAAACTTTTGCGTCAGCTCCACCACCCTGTCCTGCATCAGGTGTCACTGCAAACATACAATTTGAGAAGTTGACAGCAAGTCCTCCTCAAGAGGCCTGTGGCCACTCTCGTCACCCAAGCAGAACTCGCTCAGCTTGAACCCCGTGGATCCAAGAGGAATTTGTTGGAGACCCTTATAGCTCTTCTTGACTGGAGGCATGGCTGCAGAAGCCTGCAAATGGCTTAAAGACCCACTACAAAATGATGACTTGAGACCTCAAAATCTGCATCCAGCATGCAAGCAATTTGCATTGAGTTGTCCTGCTGGCGGCAATACACTTTCAACTCAGAGACCAGCCAATCGCAGCATGGATAAATCTCGTGGCCGCCATGATGGACAACTGGAGACCTTGCTGCTGCTCTAACCAAAAATTTTGAACGAGGCCGCTGCTGTAGATCTTTTTCCTGCGGTCATAGGAATAATATGGTTGAAAATGTGCCCAGGTTGAGCTAATTGAAATCCAGTAAGTAAAGCAGGTTGACTTAGAAATGACTTATAAATAAACGCCCTATCAAACGCTTGTGACCTGCCAATGTCCCACTGTCACAAGACCTAGATTGGAGACCCTGCACTTTCAGCCAAATCATATTTTATTGAATGGTCAGGTCAGATTCACTCATTAGATGATTTGGGCCACCCTGATCCAAACAAAGCAGATTTATATAAGCCAGATTCGCTTTTCAGGCTGCGAAACATGCTTTGGGCTTGCAAAGCTAAAGTTGCAGCGCAATCTTTTCTAGGCCTGAGCCCTGTGCTCCAAAAATCTGATTTGAATATCAGAAATCAAGCTGGCTTACCTGATTTGAAAAATGGGGCCTCAGGCTGTCAGGCCTACTAAAAAGGCTGCATGCCAACTTTATAATCTCACAAGCCAGAAGCACTTTTCGCAGCCTAAAAAGTGAATCTGGCATGCAAATTCCTCAAGTAGCTGAACAGAAAAATCCCTGAGCCCTTGGGGGTTCCGAACCCCCAAGGGCTCGGGCTTCGAAATGTCGTTCCCGAACATTCCCTTTGGAACTCCCCGTGCAATTTCAAAGTCGAATTTTGGGGTTCCCGATTCTGAACCCCCAAATTAGGCCTACAGCTCTTGTAAGCCTAATTT